GAGGGTGGCTTTGCCTTGCCTTCTGATTCAGAGAGCCCAGTTGCCTTTTCACTTCAGGCTGAATAGCCAAGGACCACTTCTGAGTTGCTGAGCGTATGGCCACTGACTATCAACCCATCTGAATTCTGAGCTAACCTTAATGAAGGAACAGCCTAATCCACACTTCTCAAAGTTTCCTAGAAGAGTTTTTAGCAGAAGTAACAGGTGGAATGATTAACAACTGGCCAATGTGATCATTCAAACATGATGAATACCCCCCACAAAAAGAGCAAGAAAAGAAAAGAAGGAAAACAGACTACTGCTTATAAGGAAAGACTTATTCATCCACAGAGACACTGAGAAATATCCCCTTTGCAAGGGAACCTTATATGCAGGGTGTTTTGCTTTGTTCTTAGGACAATGTATAAGGAAAACCACTGCTTTGTTGCCTTAGCAAGCAACCTCCACCCCAAAGAATATTCTGATTCCTGCCCCACTTCTGTAAGCAGTAAGAAGTTCCAAAGGTACACTGCTTACCCAAGTTTGGTTTTCTTTGGAGGGTGATCACCTGACGTTTATTTTCATTTGTGAACATACAGGTTAAAAACATAAGAACGTATGATAAACCATGCTGGAATAGATCGATGTTCGTTCAGTCCAGCACTCCACTCATACAGTGGCAAACCAGCAGGATGGGGGCAAGACTTCCTCCAGCCTCCGCTCCTCAGCTCCTCATACGCGCAAGGAATGCCCTCTCTGAGAAGGGAGTAGCGCACAGCCAACAAGGCTAGTAGCCACTGCTCGCCTTTGCTTCCGTTAATTTGCCAGAACCCATTTTAAAGCAATTCAAATTGCTGGTCATCACCACTTCCTGGGGCAGTTAATTTCATAGTTCAGCTGTGTGCTGAGTGAGAAAGTACCTTTATCTGCTCTGAATCTCCCTCCAATCAGTTTCATGGGGTGACCCCGGGTTCTAGAATTTTGGGGAAGGGAGAAAAACGTCTTCCTCTCCACTTTCTCAACACCATGTGTAAATTTAAACACCTCTATCAAATCTCTCTTTTTCCTCCTTTTTTAAGTGAAACCATCGCAACTGTAACCTTTTCTCATAAGGAAGCTGCTTCAGCCCCTTCATAATTTATGTGCCCTTTCCTGTGCTTTTTCTAACCCAATTATGTCCTTTTTCAGATGCAGTGACCAGAACTGTATACATATTGTAAATGTGGTTGCAACAAGGATTTGTGTAAGGGGAGTATGAGTGTGGCAGCTCCGTTTTCATCCCTTTCCCAGTTATGCCTAGCACGGACCCTGCCTTTTCCACAGCAGCTGCAAACATTTTCATCGGGCTGCCCACCACAGCCCCAAGAACTCCTGCTTCATCAGACACTGGGAGCTTAGGCCACGCCGACCTCTGCTTGCCGCTGGGCCTTCTTTGCTCCAGCATGCAGGCTGAGCATCGGTACAGACTTAAATGCACGTGTTGAACCTGCCCCAGAACCCCACCACAAGCCATCGGTTCTGCTGTGGTTTCAATGCCGCCCCTGCCCCATACCATGCTGGGTGCAGGAAATACCTGAAGCCATACGTCTCAAGAATAATTAAGGAAATTGTAAGGTGCATGATGAGAACATGAGATGGTACCATGGCCTATTTTTCCTGTGATCATCCAAACCCAGCCAAACAGCCCGTTCATAATGACCACATCAGATCACCAGGAGGGACAGATAACACACCAAGATGCTTTCAGAGTCCAAACGGAGCTCCTCGAGTCCTTCTCAGATCTGCCTTTGACGGCAGATGCCTTGCCCTTCATCCTGGCCTGAGAGACATGTTTCAATGAATCATCTCACTGAAGCCTCATAAATGTGTAAGCCTTTAGGACAGCACAAGGCTATTTGTTGTCTATATGGGAATACGTTAACTTGCTTGGACAGTGGCAACTCTGACACCACTTTGCCCCAAAACTGAATTCTAGGTATTCCTATCAAATGAGTAAAGATGAACACAGGCAGGACTAACTCAGGCCAGTACTGTCTCAGCACCCATTTTTTCTTATGGTTCTTAGATTCATACGTCACCTCCTGAAGGAACATAATCATAGGAATGTGATCCTGGAAGAGTTTTCCCTAAATTTGTGACCACCAGATATCCCATTCCCGTGCCAGCTCAAATTATGGAGATTGAAGTCCAACACATCTAGCGGTTAGGGAGGGCTACCATAGCACATGGAACTGAACAAGAGACACATGTTAATCGGGTCAGATAAGACTAGTGTTTTATTTATTCTCCAGTGATTCTTGTTTCACACACGTCTTCCTTTCTTGTGCTGGGGTCAAATACATCAGACTTCACATCTGTGACAAGCTCCAAACATTCAGAAATGCAAGTTGATGATCTAAACAATATGAATAAAGGACTGGAATAACCTGTTAGCTGGATATTAGAGGACACATGCCCCATACCTTGCCTTCTGTTAACAAGATTATTAAAAAAAGGTTTTGTTGTTTTCTGCGGGAGCAGGACTTTGTAAAATGCACTCGTATCACGATGCTGAGATTTTGAATATTTTTTCCCAGAAAGGGAAGGTGTGAATCATTGCAGAAAGAATATGGATGAAGTGCCCAGGACAGCAATCCTTACAGAAGTGATTTTAGGTGCACTTATTTGGAAATTAACTCCATCCCAACTCAGTGCAATCTACCTCTAGGTAAACCCACTTAGGGTCTGGCTGAATGGGCATTGCCCACTCACTGTGGCAAATGTTCAGCCTGCCCCGCCACACACACAAATTATCAAGTTATACTCTGGGCCAGAGCAAGTATGTCTGAATAGAATGTATTCTTGATCCTATTAATTAGCACCTGGTACTCATGTTCAGTATGCAATGCTGGGCCCTCCACAACACTTGCCTCATTATGTTTGAACACTGATGACATTGATGAATCTGTTACCAGAGGAAGGCACAAATGATGACATTGAATCAGAGGCTCCTCTCCACACGAGCTGTGTTTGGACTCCCTACTGCTGTGATGTCAGCACTGGACGGAGAGGAGAAAATCGACACTTGCGCCTGCAAGTCTCCTCGGCTGCAGGCAGCAGAACGGCAGTGGCACGCTGCATCATGTATGTTTCCATGGCCACCCTTCATTTACCGATTCATGCACTGCACATCTGTGAAGCATATCGCTAGCGCCATAGCCCAGCCTTCTTTCTCTAGCAGTGGCCAGTGCAGATGTCTCTGCTTAGGGCAGTCAGTCATAAGCGGTGCAGGACGGATTAGAGTCTTCTGCCTCTTCACGCAGGAGCGCCATCCAGATCAGAAGTGGGGGACGTGGGGCCTGCAGCCCTCCAAACATTGTTGAACTCCTGATCCCATCAGCTCCACCCCATGTGAACAACGGTCAGGGATGGCGAGAGTTGTGGTCCAACAACTTTGGGAAGGCATCGTGTTCCCCTCTTCTGAGAGATTTTGCTTTCCATGGATTCAGTTCCAGGCCAGCTAAAATTTACTAACCAGAAACAATGAGACAGAAAGAGCAGACAACTTGAAAGCTCGCTTAATATGCCTTCGCTTGTCAGGGGACTCTCCTGCAAATGAATAGTTCGCTGGTCTTATCTTTTCTAGGGCACTGCCCATTATCTGGGGAATTAATCCAAAAATTATAGGGTTTTCAGGAAAGGGTCAACCAAAGCCACATGAAACACACTGGCTCTACATAAGCCTTCCCCAACCTGGTGCCTTCCAGATGTGCTAAGCCACAACTCCCATCATTCTCAGCCACCATGGGAATGGCTGACCATGCAGCTGGGAATGACAAGAGTCTTGTAGAGCATGGAACTTGTTCTACATGGAGTGAAGCATCCAGGTAGATGGGCGCATTTTTCCTTTTCCTGGGGTTTAGGGCTTGCCCCCGTCCTGTAGCTCTAGCCCTCTGTTACAATGCAATAATGCCCTTTATGTGTATACAGTGGTAGGTTGAGAAGCTTCTCAAACATGGACCACTTTGCAACAATCCTGTAAGGAGTCCAGTGTTCTTATTCCATGTTGCAAATTGTGGATGGGGGGGCAGACTAAGGACTGGCCTACGAGATGTCCTGAAGATGATCTAGAGAACTGAAGCAAGACATTTCCCGAGTCTCCTCACACTCTTAAATGCGGTGTCTTAGTTTCCTACCAATGCGCTAGTTTTCTCTTGCCTTCCTTTCTCATCTCCGTTTTTCAAATATTTAAATCCAAAACGCGTTAGGAAACTCGTTGGGTTTGTTCCTGCTTTTATTTTGTGAACATTTAAAATCAATGCATATGATGCCATCGATCTGCACCTGATTCCGCGAGGAATGGATGTGATTCTTTGTGCTCTATCCTTCCGAATGGATGCACCTAATGATTTTGCAAAAAAGGCCGATAACGAGGTTGAATCTTATCACTTTTTCGAGGCACTCCTCCAAGCCGAGTCAAGAAGAGAGCTGTTCTCCGAATTAACGGGCCGGCTGAAAAACGTGAAGTTCGTGGGTCTGGCGGAGCGCCCCAAACTGCGGAGAAGGACGGTGCCTTATTCCGAACGGCTCCAGAACGAATTCCAACTTCGAGCCAAGCTTGCGCCCAAGTCGCCGCGGCGGCACTTTCTCCGGGGAGGCGTCCGCCCGCCCGCCCGCGGAGCGCGCGGCGCGCCCGAGAGCGCCCGGACCGCGCGGCGCAAGCCCGGGCGGCGCGGCCGTCTCCCCCGAGCGCTGGAGCGGCGCAGCCGAGCCGCGACCCGCCTCGCCGCGCCGCTCCCGGGGGGCAGCCTACGCCGCGCGAGACAATAGCGGCAGCTCGGCTCCCTTTCTCCGCCAGAAGCCGCCAGGCCCCGCCTTCGCTGTGCTCATTGGCTCCCTGGGAATTTGGGGAGCCCCTGAGCTGGGCGTGGGAAGGCGGAGTCGGTGGCGCGCGCGCTGCATTGTGTGCGCCAGAAGCAAAGGGAAGGGTGGCGAGGGGCGGCGGGGCGGGCGGGCGCGCGCGCTTCCTGCTTCCTCCTCCTCCTCCTCCTCACTGAGGGAGGACGGCGGCGGCGGCGGCCGTGGAGGGGCGCGCGCTCCCGGGGCTTCTCGCCTGGTGCAGGCACAACACTGGCTCCGCTACGAGCAAGTCAGAGGAGGAGGAAGAAGAGGCGGAGAAGGCGCAGAAGGGAGCCGAGCCGCGCCAGCCGGCGCCATGGAGGAGCTGAGCAGCGTGGGGGAGCAGGTCTTCGCCGCCGAGTGCATCCTCAGCAAGCGGCTCCGCAAGGTGGGCGGGCGGGCGGGCGAGCGAGCCAGCAAGCCGGCCGCGGGCAGCCGCCTCCGCCTCGCCTGCCGCTCACCCGCCGCCCTCTCTCTCTCTCTCTCCCCCTCTCTCCCTCCCCCTCCGCAGGGCAAGCTGGAGTATTTGGTGAAGTGGAGAGGCTGGTCTTCCAAGTGAGTGCGGACAATGAAGGCAGCAGCTGAGCGCCGGCCAGCCGTTGGGCTGAAGGGGCTCCCGGGGCGTGGCTTGGGGCTCGGAGGCTCCGAGGTGCTGGGCCCAGGCGATCGAGGAGTTGTGGGCGAGCAGGACCGGGCGGGGGGCTCGGGCGCGGGCTGCGGCGGCGAGGCGCTCGTGGGCCTGGGGGGCGGCGAGGGAATCGGGCCAGCGGGCTCCCCGCACTCCGATGGGTCGGGGGCGCTCCGAGACGCGCGGAAGTTACTTTCGCTCTGCCTGGCCGAGAGTGCGTGCGTTGCTCCCCGTCGCGGAGGGCGGCGGGGTGGGAGAGCGGCGCTTCCTCCCGCTGGACTTTCTTTTGTTTACGAGCGATTTGTGCCTTCCCGCTCGCTCGCCGCCCGGCGTCACACCAACTCCCGGCCCGGGTCGCCGCTCGCTCCCATGTGTTGCGCGGCTCCGGCCGCGGAACACGCGGCTCCGCCGTGCTCGGGCCAGCCTCGTGCCCCTTCTCGCGGCGGGGTCATCCGGGGAGCAGCTCTGCCCGGAGCGGGCGGGCTGCGGTGCGCAGGACTTGCCCTGCTCGCCCGCGGACCCCCGCTGAAACCTGAGCCCTCGCTGGATGCGCCTCTCCCTCTGGCAGAGGGGACGCGGCACGGGGCGTGCTGTCAGCCCGCGAGGGCGCTTCCCTGTTTACCCCGCTGCCAGCTGCTCCTGCAGCCCAGATCCTGCTTCATCCAGTTCGTGGGAGGCCGCCCCTCTTGCTCCCCGAAACGCACGACCCTCCCCAGGCACCCACTGACCGGTGCGGCTGCCTGCCTTTGTTTTTGCGCGTTCGCTCGCTCGCGGGTCCGCAGAGGTCTTCCCTCGTAGGCGAGCGCTCCTTTGCTCATCCCCTCCTGTGTCTTTTCCATCAAGCCCGTGGAACCTGCCCTGCCCAAGGCAGTCGACTTGCGCCCCAATTAGTTATGCACAGTTCTAGGATGCCGCTGCCTCCCAGTTTTTTTCTCCCAAAACTGAAGCTGACGTTCATTTTTGAGCGGATGAGGTGTAAATTACTGAGAGGTATCACTAATGAAGCTGTACTGCTAGTATGTAGAATCTGTTGGAAAAATTGGACGTACTTTGCTTCAGAGTAACAATTTCCGATAGCTTCTAATTTAAGCTAATGGCTTACAAGAAAACAGAGTGTGTTCAATGACCTGTTACTCTTTCTAGGCACAACAGCTGGGAACCTGAAGAGAACATTCTCGATCCCAGGCTTCTCCTGGCCTTTCAGAAGAAGTGAGTAAGCTGCAAACCTTGGTGAGAGGAGGGAGGGGAGGGGAGGGTGTTCCTCTAGGCAGGCCAGCTGGGATTATGGAAACAGAATACAGAGTAGACCATTGTGTATTCATTGTTCCCCTGAAATACAGTCCTCAGTTAGCCCTTCCTTGATACCTAACTATGAAGGGTTTAAAAGGTTCCTCTTGTTTAGTGGCCTCTGTAGACTCAAATGTACAGCAGTGTTTATTTCTGTATGGACTTTTTTGTAGGCTTCGTTTTAAAGTCTCCTTTCTGCTTTCTATGCTGCATTACCAACCTCGCACACAGATAACATGAAAGGTGTCTTTGTCAACGGCAGCCCTTAAATAGTGGAGCATGGTATATGTCCAACGTTGCAAACTTGGAATTTGTGATGTGTACTAGGACAACTTTGGGGGAGAGGTAGCATCTTGAGAGGTTGGCAGTCTCTCTCCAGACACTTCTTCTGGCAGTTTGTTTTGTATGAGGATAAAATCTTATTAAGGTGAATCATGTTTTCTGTTAAAGGTAATCCTCTTTGGAAGTGTACTTTACCTAGGGACCTAAGGTGAGAGAAGCTGTCTGGCAAAATATCGGGAGTAGTTTCTACTGAGTATAAGGCATAAGAAAACATCTGTCCTGCTCAGAAGTCTTCCAGCATGTACCTTCTTTGGATGCCCATGTTGCACTTAGATTCTTCATTGATATTTTGGAAGTAAGAGTCCCGATCGATCAGGTAGAAGGCCTGTCTAGCCCAGCATGCTTTCCCCTACAGTGGCTGACCAGGTGTCCCAGTGGGACGCTCACAAGCAGAAGTGGGGACCAATGGCTATATTCATAGTTAAGAGGACCTAAAACTTGAGAGTAAGATATCAAGCAGACTGCGGAGAGCTCCAGAAGGAACTTTCTGTACAAGAGGGTCTGGGCAACAGAGTGGCAGACATAATGGTAGTCCAACTTAATGTGTGTCAACAGACCAACCTAACTGGACAGTGAGACTGTTTACAAGGTGCAGCCAGCCAGTGGCTGTTCCATGACAATGAAGAGGGGATTTGTGCCTTGCTTTCCAGGTCTGAGGGTGGTAGTGTGACAGTTATCAATGTATCTGATGGTAAGGGCAGCAGTTTCCCCCTCTCATCACACAGTAGCTGCCAGCAGTTTTGCTTTGCCAGTCACTTCAACAACCATTACTGGTTCCACAGAGAAGTTAAAAATGAGCATTGCAAAGAGGAAAAGTGACAAGTTCTTTGGATTCATTGTGATCTAATAAGAACAAAAGAAGCACAATGTTAGGAAGCCTTAGGGAACTTGACAAATGTTAAAGCAAAATCCATACCGCAGGAGTATCACTAGAGAAACTGGCAGAAAGGGACATGCGTGGCTTGGGGCTCTTGCACTGCACTGCCACACTGGGTAAAAAAGTAGCGGTGTATAGCCTTTGAACCTTGATAGTCAGCATGCACAGGAATTATCACAAGCATGGTGCTCAAAATCTAAGAAAGTAGCACACACAGTGGATGCATCTTTCTTTGTGCTTCTGTTTCTTTCTCTGTTTCTGTTTTTGTTTGCAATGAGGTCTGGTAATGAACACCTCTAGTTTGAATAGGGATGAAACTATGTGTGTCTTTCTAAAAAAGATGGGCAGACTCATCATGAGCAGCAGCTCTAGTTTCCTGCATGTCTTTCTGGAAATCCATCAAGCTGATTTGCATTCTGTAGTGTAATATGTGTATGGTGGCTGAATAGGTGGCCGTGCTTCCTCCTTCCAGGGTCTGTGTAGTTCCCGGGGCTGAAAGCTCAACATTCCGCCTGCTGTTACCTTTTATAGGCCAAAACCTTCCATGTGTGCCCTTTATCTGATTTACTGGGCCTTGGTTAGGCACCTTCCCCCACAGACTCTCACAGAAGAGGGATCAATTGCATCTGCTTGTATGCAAATTACAGTGTCATTCTGGTTGCCCTAGCAAAGGTAAAAGAAAAATAACTATCTAAAATTATTAGTGAGGATGAATCATCCTTATGAAAGCTATGAATTCTAAAGGCTTAATCCTTGGAATAAAGGTTAAGATTAGGGCTTGATAGAGATTTAGCAGTCAAGAGTGGTAAAAAAATGAACTTCGTTATTGAACAGCATTAATAAAATGGAAAGTCTAAAGGTCAAGAAAGGATTCATTTTCAGAATTGGGGTCAGGAGAGTAATGGGTAGCAGGGTGGAAGGCAAAGGGGAGTACTTCACAAAACCATAGGATTTCTTGCTGCATGATGTGATTGCCTCTGCTGTGAATAGCATTTGGTGCATTAGATAAATTCACAGAAGTTGAGTCTTTTGGTGGAGACTAGAATGTCCCAAGGCTAGAAGATCTAGGAATTGAGTCTCCATTTCCACCAGAAATAGATCTTTAACTGTTAGACTAGATATTTCTGTGATGTGCTGTGCTACCTGTGCTTTCCTCTTGAGAATCTGGCCACTGTTGGAAGGAAGAATTTCAAGTCAGAGAATGCACATCTTGAAATTCTTAGAATGTATCGGAGGTGGGTGCAATGCTGTGAATCCATGGACAGGCACACTGGTTGCTTGACTAAATGGGACAGTGAAAGGTGACAACTGCCGTGATGAGGATGATGCAGCACTGAGGGTGAAAACTTGTACCGGAGTTGCACCTGCTGAGGTGCTTTAGGCTTTGGTGGAAGCCCTGCTGTGTCAGTGGAACCGTAGATGGACTTCTGGCAGAACTCCTGATCCTCTGCCCGAAGGAAGAGGCCTGTGGCAGTGCTGAAAGCAGGGTGGAGCTGTAGCCTGCATGGGAGAGGAGCCTCCTTTCACTGCCTCCTGTCCGCCTTCAGTCCACAGCCACACACCCGTCAGTGGGGAGTCTGCAGCAACCCCAGAGCTGGTGCAGGACAGTTTCCTCCCACTGGAGAGAAAAACCATCCTTGAATTTTGGGATGATACCACCAGCAGTGCATAAGCCCTCCTCAGAGAGACTAACTCAGCAGGCGAGATGTGCCACATAGGGGTGTGTCTTTCTGGAGCGCACTTTCTGCACACTCTAAACTTCCAAGAGGGAACTCTGGTGATGGGGAAACTATGAAGAAAGCACCATGCACAAAACAGTCCAGACTCGCAACACACGGGAGGATTTGGGCACAGTGCTCACACGCCTCTGCCTAGCACCAGAACAAATACCTCACCTTGCGACTCCAAACACCGCCCCCCCACACAACACCAAACTCCAATTCCATAACTGAGGTTTCCAGGACAGGACATTCCATGCAGGTAAGGAAGTGAATGAGGAACATGTGCTGCAATTTAGATGCCTCCAGTGTTCCCACCTGCCCACTTGACCGTGTGTGGATACTGTGTCTTCTTTGAATTGTATTAACACTGCTCCCACTCCTGGAGGCAGGAGCATCTCGCGTTCCCACAAACAGGTAAGCCGCCTGCTGGCAAAGGCCAGCTCCTCCGCTGCGGGCGTTTCAGCTGCTGGCAACGGTTGAGGTGGCACTTGGCCTCGTGGGGTCGTAGCCAGCAGAAGAAGCAGCCATTGCACAGCTGATCACGGCAGGCCCACGCAGCCATGGCAGTCTTCCTCCATGGGGTTGGGTGGGAGGAGGCTGAGGCCTGGGCGAGCATCCCATCTCGCCATTGCACCGTCCTCTCACACACATCCGTGTGTGCCCAGGTGCTTCTCACTCCTTCGGACTCTCTTCTTGCTCTCCACAGGCTGCTGTCCCACACATTCGGGGACTGCCCCACCCCCAGTCCTGTGTGCGCCATGAGGAGGCCCTGCTGCATGGCCACCTCTGGTGACCGGGATGCTCCCAGCCGGTGCACTGCAGCGCTTGGCTGCCTTGCTCCAGGCTCGCTCACGCGTGCATGAGAGTCGGCCGTGCAAGAGGTGCAGGGGCTCCTGCTGGGGCCGTCAGGGGCTCCATGCACGCTGTGCTGCTGTCTGTCAAGCTCCAGGCGGAGACATGGGAGCACTGCTGTCCTTGCTGTCAGGATCCCCTCCGCCTCAGAGGTGGATGAGGAGAGGCCTGGACGTGGCCTGTATCATTTCCTTGCAGCTAAAGAGTGGATCCAGCTCCCTTTCCCACACCCTTCTTGGACCTTGGGGTGTGATGTGAGGCACACATGTAGGGTCTCGACAGGCTCAGGACTGAGGCCATCCTGCTTTCCTGCACTCCTCGCGCTGTGACTGGAAAAGCCTCTCGGGATGCACAAGCGGGTCCGTTGCTGCTGCCAGGATGTATGAAGCGCGGTGGGATTTGGAGGGGGGCATGATGCAGAAGAGCACCGTTGAGGCCGGCTCGCTCGCTCGCTCGCCAGTGCACTGGCAGGATAGAGAGGGGGCAAAATGTCCCGGTGGCCTGGGCAGTGCTGCTCCTGGCTGCCCCGCCTGGGAGCCTGAGCCCGTTCCCCTTTCCCAGCGTGAAGCTGTGACCGAAATGTAAGCACCCCCGTATGGCTAGGCTCCTCCCGTGCTCCTGGTGCCTGGGACTTGGTCTGGGGGAAGGGGAATATGGCCCAGCATGCTGTGCACCCCTTGCCAGGCATGAAAGTGCCTCCCCTCTTCCCCTGATGGGGCTGAAAAGCACACCGCCTTCCTTTCGGCTCCCTAGTCCCTCTGGCGAGCCGCTGTGGCTCCATGGCTGCCTTTGCGGTGCGTCCTGCCCTCTTCTGTGGGGTGCATGGCAGCAGTCTTTTCCCTTCCTAGATGAGTTCTGAACCATGTCCCAGGGAGGGTCCTGCTCAGGGAGCACAGAGGGGCCTCTGTGGAAGTGGAGTGCAGTCTGGCCGCCTCATCCTCCCCTTTGTCTGGCTGCCCCGGGACAGTGACAGGGAGGAGCGAGGACGATGCAGACGCTGCCTTCAGGACTTGGGGCAGGCACGGTGCTGCTGGCTGGGCCGGTGGAGAGCAGGTGCCGTGGCCGTAGTCACGCAGGGGTTGCTTCCTCTGGGTGAGGGCAGGGTGTGGGCAGTCACCCCCCCCAGGGGGGCTGCAGTGGGGTCTCCAAGTGTGCAGTGGGTTGTTTTTAAGAGCAGCATCTGTAAATCTTAAATATATACATAGTTGAGAATGCAAACACCAAAACCAGCTCTTGCAGCCGCAGTGCATTCCAAGAACTGTAGCACAGCAGCAGCTCCGGTGGAGCAAATGCCATCAAAAGTCGCATAGTTGTGCGTAGGCATGCAGATGCGGTGTGCTTTTTACCTGCCGTGTATTCCAGGATAGTTGAAGGCTTTGCAACATAGAAAATTTCCACACATTTTCTCTGTGGGCACCTCTTGTCAGTGGTGTCCCTGCTGCTGCTGGGTGCGGAAGATACTTCCCCAGACAATAACACTGCATGACATTTCCATTCCTCTTTCAAGGAAAGCTTGCCTTCCTCACCTTTTATCTTGGGCTTTCAGATTTCAAGTTCAAATGTGTAGCATTATGTACCTTAAATAGTATGATACTTGCAGTCCTTCACTGTTATTATTTACTGATACTTCACTATATCCATCGTCTGTTTTTGGGGTGCAGGACACCGTTCCTGAAAATCTGTGAAATTGAAATTATATTCTTCACTATGTTGTGGGATGTGCATTGATAAACATTTACATTTAGTATGAACATTGGAGGGTGCAGCCTATAAGAAAATTTGTGGCTATTGTATGCATTCACACACCATTTCTATTAAATATTTGGTTTAAGCATGCACATGCAAAATGGGTACAGATAATTTAAAATGATGCCCAATACTGTGATATGGTCATGTAAAAGACCTCGATTTTAATTGAGAGCAACTCCAAAGAGAAGGAAAATGTCACTGGTCTCTTTAAAATAGGAGCTCTTTAAATCAGTGTGAGTAAACTTTTCAGATGGTGAAAAATGAACAAAATATTTAATTCTTTACACAGAGAATCAGAAAGTAGTGGGAAAGCATTGTAATTGCACAGGGGGATAGAAAGAAGTAAATGTTATGCAGTAGCAACAGAAGAAGCTAGGAAACTGGGGTAGAGGGAAGCAGCCATGGAACATTGCAAAACCAGATGTGTGATGTGGTAAACGGTGCAATGAATTAAGGTATGGTGAGGAAGAAGATGAGACAGATGAATTGGCTGTGTTGCTATTTGGCATTTTCAGGGAACATGAGAAAGAGGTGCAGAATCGGAAGAGAGGCAAGCGACCCAGAGGCAGACCTCGGAAAAATGTCGTAAGTAATACTGACTTCTAAAACTGGATTTATGCAGGAGACATTGGGGCGGGGGAGGTGCTTATGCATGTCTTACATCACCTGCCTCTTGTACAGTCTGCCGTTTTCCCACAATGGGTCGACGTGTCTGATCACCTGGAGTCAGTGTTTGTTCCCCGTAGGCAACCAAAAGAATAAAGAATCAAAGTCTGTCTGAAACAGGAAACTGAGTCATACTGATGGAAGTGAAAACAGTTGCCTCAGTACTGAAGAGTAAGCAGCTGTCCAGATAGTATCACTGACATTTGGTTTAAGATAATGAAGCCTTAGCCAAAGCTTAATTTGTTAGGGTGCCCAAACCTTATAATGGCAGAAAGTTAACAGTGTGCTATAACTAGGTCTTAGAAACTAGAATCTGTGTAGCCACCATATTATTCTAGTTTGAGTAATTTTATGATTGCTTTCTAAAATGCTGCACTCACAGCATCACAGAACATACTAATGTTATTCCCGTTTTGTTTTCTTCTTTACTCTGTTTTGAAAGGAACCTGAGGTGCCTCCAAAGAGCAAATCCAGCAGCTCTTCCTCCTCAACTTCCTCCTCATCTTCCTCTTCTGATGAAGAGGATGAAAGTGACCTGGAGACAAAGAGAGGTCAGCGGAGCAGAGAGAGTCATCCAGTGCCTCAAAAGAAAGCTCAAATTCTTATTGCTAAGCCAGATAATAAGGACCCCATTAGGAAGAAGCGAGGGCGGAAACCTCTGCCTCCTGAGCAGAAAGTAGCAAAGAGGACTGTCAACATAACAAAGGTGCTTAAAACAAATCAGAAGGAGATGGGAGGTGGTGGAGGAGGAGGAGGACCCAAGCTGATGGGCAAGATGCAGCCCCAACACAGTGCCCAGAGTTCGGGCATCGCCATGCTTAAATCCCACATGAAGGAAGCCCAAGGCGCGTTCAGCGGATTTTGTTCCGGAGCCTCCACCACTGACAATCTTTCCGGTATTGTGAAGAACACCCCATCTGGAAGCCCAAATTGTGGCATCAGCTGGCAAAGCTCCATTGTGCATTATATGAGTCGGATGTCACAGAACCAGAGTGCGGCAGATGCTGCTGCAGTGGGAAGGCTGACTCTCAAGTCAGCCATGTCCTGCAAGAGCAGCCTTGGGCTGGACTTGAAACTGAAAAACCAGAAAGGTGCTGGCGATCTGGAGTTGACTGTGCAAGGGTCCAAAGTGGCAAAGCGGCCCACTGGCAGTGCATTAGGGGAACAGAAAACAGGGTATGGTGCTGGTGTGCAGACCTTGCACAACGGCAACAAGGTTCCAGCTGGCTCTCCCAACAGCCAGCAAGCTTCCAGTCAGGAGATCAATCTCCAAGCTTTAAATCTACAGAGTGTGAAAAATGGGCCAAGCTCCACTGGTGGGAACAGCCTTCCTCGTCATGGCTGCGGGACTGTGGCCAAAAGCGCCGGCGGCAGTCTAGTTACGAGCACAGGTGTGAGCAAAGGCAGTGGGCCAAACACTACAAACGCAGGGGCACTATTAGCAGATGCAGATGCTCGCAAAAGTGAGAAGCCATCGCAAAGAGCAGCCACAGGTGAAAGAGATTTGGCAGCAAAAAGTGGTGCCCCAGGTTCACAGGAAGGATGTCCCACTGCAGAAAATCACAAGGCTTCAGCCCTGTCGGAAATGAGCACTGGAGATGAAGAGACTAGTTCCGATTCAGACAGAGATTCTGCTTCTTTCCCCGGGGCAGGCCAGAACATGTCCGTCTCCATCCAGACTAGCCAGGACTGGAAGCCCACTCGCAGCCTCATCGAACACGTCTTTGTCACAGATGTGACAGCAAACCTGATCACGGTGACTGTCAAGGAATCTCCAACCAGTGTTGGCTTTTTTAATCTTAGACATTACTAATCTGTGGGGCATATATTCCCCCTCATCTCATCTCATCTCATCTCATCTCATCTCATCTCATCTCATCATCATCAGCTCTACCTGACTCTTGCCTTGGTTGCCAGAAGGGGAAACAACACCCAGCTGCTACCACCCTTTATGAGCTGTATGCCTATTCAGCAGGAATGCTCCACTGGGAAATTCTGTAACTGTTGGCCATGGTAGCTTTGGGCTTCTGCTCGTTCTATGGAAACTCCATGATGCCTGTAAAATTTCAGAAAGCCAAGTTGTTATGCAGCTGCCAAAAAAAACCCCAGTATGTAGGGGTGGGTTTTGGGACTCGGTCTCATGAAGATTTTGAAGTCAGCTAGTATAAGGGAGGTTGAGTGGGAGCTACTCGCCCAGGTTTTACTGTACCTGGACATCTTAGCTTTACGGCTTGAACTGGCAAGAACTGGGTAGCCAGTTGCTCAGTAACTGGGTTTGCAGGGGTGGGGTGGGGATCCTTTAAACAAACCGGTAGTACAATAACATTGTGCTCTCCAAGGAAAGTGGTTCCTTATTCTTCCACCAAACAATCCAGATCCGGCCTTCGGGAGCTTTTAGGATAGTGAAACTCAATCTAAACTTGAAAACAAATATTTTAAGAGCTCTGCAAAGGGACATGTGAAATAATATTGTTTACATTTCCTTAAGTTTGCCTTGCTTTGGAAGCTGAAGGGGATGGTCCAGAAAGGGCTATTGTTCTCAGAGCTTAGGGGGCACGATCTGAAAGCTGCAGGTGCTCCTGGGAGTGCACAGCTGAGTGGCTTCAGTGAAGCATTGGCCCCCCAGATGTGCCAGAGCTCTGGTAGCGCTTGCAGCTAGTGTACAGGAAGCCATCTGGGAAGAAACAACAGTCTTGGAGAACCCCCAGACAAAGTCTGCTCTTTGCCACAGCTTGCTTCTTCACCCACTAAATGCCAGCAGATGCCACTAAATGCCAGCCATGTAATTTAGGGATACTTTGCAGATGAGATAGCTTCACATGAAAAGCAGTTCTGTGTAAATGGTCAAACAACTTGCATTTACATCAGGGTTGGGGGAACGTGGCCTCCAGGCATTTTGGGACTCCAGAGCCCATCATACCTGAGCACTGGCCATGCAGACTGGGTCCAATGGAAGCTGGGGTCCACAGCATCTGGAGAGCCAAGCTCCCCCGCCATGCATATTTTCAGCTAAAACAGCTGCACATGTTGGGATTCTGCCATGGGCAGTTGCAGCTGCCCAGCAAGGGAGCATACAGCAAAATGCAGTGGTGGTCAGTGGTGATGCATGTGTAGGTTGCACGCCATTTTCTGCGCAGGACAGCCACAGAGTGAACACTGAAGTACGGCACGGAGTGATGCTGTTCTCTCTGAAGCAACGCTGAGGCCATAATGCGAGGAGTGGAGGGAGAGGAGGAGGAGCGCTGCTGCTGAAAGCTGCCCAAGCTGAGCTTGAAGTCTCTCAGTATTTTGAAAACAGACCGTCCAGGTTTCTACCATTACTTGGCAGTTAGCTTCAAAATACTCCATGTAGCTAATGTTTTAGCAGCAGGCCCTGTTTCCTGTCCATTTCCCCTGTTGATGACTGGGCCTGTATGTATGTCCTGCATCCCTGGACCAGATTCTGCTAATCTTCGCAGAATGGAGTTCGGATGTTCTCCTTATGGCCTTGGTTGCTATAAAGGGAGCCTCTGCCCTCACCTGTGCCTGGATCCCAGTGCGTAAAGTCGGAGAGGGCAGGGTAGAGGCCCCCTAGGAGCAATACTTGCATTGCGCTACACTTGCCTGGAGTCAGAATAGTATCGAGTGTGGCTCTGTATAGTTTCTCCGACAGCAAATGGCTCTTGTGAGCCAAAAGCTGTGTGTGTCTGGGCCGGCACGTGGCAAGCAAGTCTCTCTCTGTCAGGACTGGACTGTATTCTACTGAGCAAGGATTTCAGTATGCGCCTCAGACCTATAGCATGCTCTCAGGGGGACACGGGGATAGGCAGGGGCTGTCTGTGTTTGTCATAAAAATGCCTTGTAACCCTGGATATGCCATAGCGTTTGGACAAGGCCAAGTTTCTGTGTAGCTTTCACAATAGAAGGTCATGCCAGCATTGCAGTGCAATTTCGAAGAGCCATTTCAGGACACATGGTGATGTCCGTGGGCCATTGGTTCGGAAAACTGAGCAGGCTAAGCGTGCATCTTGAACTGCAGAATGCGTCATAGTATTACAAATATAATTGAGGCACAAGGTTAGAAGCCTTGTGGCCTTTTTTAACTCAGTGGTTTGGCCTACCAGTTTTCCTGCTCAGTTCTCTTTTGTGTCATGTATCCTTTGTGCTACCACCTTGTGAGACCAAACAAAGATGAGGAAAAGTGAGGCTACAAATTCATCATAGATAAGCTGTTACACTTCTGCTAATTGGAGATACTATTTCATGGGTAGGCAGCCTGATGTCTTTCAGATGTTTTTGACTATAACTCCAGTTAACCATCACCAGTATGGCCAGTGGTTAGGGACTATGGGAGATATAATCCAAAACATCAGGAAAGCGCCAGATCACCAACCCCTGCTGTACTTCATAAATGGGTATAGAAACATCTCTGTTTCCCTAAGTTGGTTAGCTCAGAAAATTCAGTGGAAAGCAAGGGGCTTTGCATATCCAGGCAGCTGTGTTGAAAACTGCAGCGCAGATTTCCCCTGGTGCGTGGATGGTTTAAGAACAGTGAAGAGTGCTCCTGGCTCTTGCAGAGGCACCTTTTCGCTTTACAGCCTGATGAATAAGGTAGTGGACATTATCAGGAGCTTGTGGCACGCAATGGCTGCATGCCGTTCACAGAACTTTCTACAAAATGGCTTTGTGAGATCCAACTACGAACTCCCAGAGTGAGCACATTGCTGGACCTATGTATCCATTTAGTAATAACAGCATCAAGGAACTTTGCTCTGACCCAGAGTAAACAGCCTTCCTTGCTAATATGTAACTTCTTCTAATGTAGCTTGTAAATGTGACCATAAAGTCGTCTTCTGAATGAAGAGCATTCTCAGTGATGGCCTCAGAAATCAAACAGGGGATTTCGTCTTTATAAAGATACATGTCACAGGGGTCTCTGCTCCTCTCCATTCATTGTTCTTGCATCAGCTGTTCTGTTTCTGTGTCGGCCTCCCATCGCACTTGTTACTAAACTCCCCCTGTAGATTAGAGCACGAACCTCTCGTGTATTAATTCTCCTTTTCTAAAGTTTTTAATGGCTACTGCTGCTTTTTGCTCTAATATTAAGAGTCCCCAAGAGCTACATAAACTTCTGTCTTCTAAACAAAGCAGCAATCTCGTTTTCTGAGTGCCAAAATGTGACAGTGTGTTGTTGCTTCAGTCTGTGTAGTTTAAGCTCAGCCAATGAGTTCTCCTTTTGGAAAACTCAGGAACATCCACCAGCCAATTTATCTGGAAGCTCTTGGCAAAGTTCAGGTTGGGATATCCTCGAAGACGCTGTTGAAGTTGCTTGTGTTCTTTGTTGGAGAATTGGCAGGTCCTGCTTTTGTAGCATAGGACAGGGATCGGAGGAATTTGATGGCAGTGCCGGCTACCTCACTGTCTTTGCTGTGCATTGAGTGTTGTAACATATTTAGCCTTTGTAAATCTTCATTCCTTTTAACTTCTGCCATGTGCCTTTTGGAACAGTGTGTTTGCTGGCAGCAGTTTGATGCTTTTGCTGCCATTAAGGAGAGCCAAGGTTGTGGAGCAGAGTGAGGGGAAGAGAGTTCACATAATGGTGGTACACATGCTAAATTAACCCGTTCAGCTAATGGAAATGGCAGCTGTCTGTCTGATCTACCCACCCTCCTGTTTTACTGAAGCCATCGTCTTTCACAAGTGCTGGACTGGTTTCTGACTGGGGAATGTTGGAACTTTTGGGGCTTTTTTTACTAAACACAAATAGGATTGCACTGTAATGGGATTTGTTGCTCATCAGAGGGAAATGATGTGTTGATAGAGCTGAGATTTCTGGAATGGAAGCTAGTTTTTTCTCTATCCAGAAATCATTTTGTTTCACACATGCTCTCTCAGGCCCAAGCTGTAAAGTGTGTGTGCGTACTTGTGTGTATATACTTGTGTTGAGCTTGCATCCTTGCAACTTAAATCAGTATATATTCCATTCTGCCAGGCATCTGTTTGTTTTTTCCAGATAAGCTTCCTCTCTATTTCTTAGTGCACAATGACTTCCCCTTGCTAAGAGGCACGCCTGTCCTTTTCAAACCTCAGTATGATTTCCTTGCAATTCTCGACTCTGCTCTTCAGTCAGTGCTGCTTGAAGCAGGCTTCTTTATATTCCCCAGCTTGCCAGAAGACCTGTTGCTCTTATTCCCTTAGAAGCTCTAATGTTGTGCCTTTCTGTTAACCAGCTATTTCAATTCCAAAGTCTATAATCTTGAAAACGCCTTATCTTAACTAGTAAGATGATCAACTCTTCTGACAACTTGAGTTGACTCCATAAGTTGCTTAATGTGCAAGTGAATGAAATATTTTAAAACCCCCTAGCATTTCAGAGGCAAACTGTGCACTCAAACTCATTGTAAATTTAATCCGTTGTGGGCAGATAGTTCAGACTGGTGCTAACCAAGTTTACTGGTTCACAAAGTTAGTATTCAAAATCTACCTTTCTATATTTGTTTAAGTTTGCTGCTACGTGTTTGAGTGTGTTTTAGTTGTGTGGCAAACTGCTGTTTAAAGTTCTGTTGCTACTTTTCTCACATTTTGAACAGGTTTTTTTTAATTAACTGAATAGTGCGCCTGTGTTTGTATATCAAATGGATATTAGTACATTGTCCTTGAATACTTAAGTTCCTCTTTCACATTAACTGGAAGAAGTGCTCAGTTTTAGTCCACTTGCTTAAAAGTAATATCTACAATACCAACAGCACACAAACTGACACACACACACACAATTTATATTGCAGTGTTCTGGTGCTTCACTAATGTTGCCGTACTTTGTTTTGAATTCAGAAGAAATGGCTTTCACAAGCAGGAAACTTGTAAGAATTGTTTCGGTGCTTCTTGTAATGTGTGTCAATCACTGTGTGTATAATTTTTAAAAAGCCAAATAGTTTTGTGTATGACATTTTCTACTTGCTTTAAACTAGAGCTGTTTCTTTGCTTTTATACTATGAGAACAAAAGTTGGAGATGTTATTATCCTGGGAAAGCGTAGCTTCTTTGTTAGAGTGGGACAGACTTTCCAGCCAGAATATTAAACAAGGCTGAAAGCAATGTCTGCCCATTGATCTCGCTGTGGGCTCACTGCTGCATTTGGGGGTTTGTTTGCTTGACCCTGGCTTGCTTGCTTCTCTTGTGTGATGTCTATCTTCCAATATTCCTTTGCCATTAACACTAGTTTAGATTCCTAAGCTGTTCATTTCAGTTGTTTTTTTAATTTATTTTGCAGGTTAAAAGAACTCCTAGAAGATGGTATGCTGGACAATTTTGTATAACTCTCAATTCATTGTTTTAGTATCAATAAATATTTTTTTAACTTTTCAGCTCATGCAGTGTATGCTGTTGTACTCTGGTAGCGCTCTCTGTCGCTTGCTCTCGCTTTCAAAATTAATCGAAGGTATCAGAGCATTAAAATAGTGTGTATAGGAACAGTCTCCAGTAATGCAATCTGTACCTTTTCACTCTGAAATAAGTTTGAGTTTAGTTGGGCTTATTCCCAGGTAAATGTGTATTGGATTTCAGCCTAAGACGAATATTTCAATTATCCTTATAGCCTGTATCAAAAAGAGCTTATCACCTTTTGCTTCAATAGAAGCACAGAAGAAAAGGAAAATAATGGACACCATGTACTCATCGAGAAGTCTTGAGAAACATCTTGCACATAAGGCTTCTCGTTATACATTACGGGACCTGCCCACAATGTAATGCCTTACGTACCACACTCACAGGGTTCTCTAGAAGAAACCATCCAGCAGGGATAGGAACGGAGTGCTTTCCACACCACCTCCCAAAGCATCCGTGCATTCAACTACTGTTCTGTCAAAACAAGTTACAAAGCTGTGCTTGTGCCT